TAGCCGTAACAATACACCCAAAAAATTATTTTTTGACGTGCACCGTTACTTGCACACCATAAACGTGCATATACTATAGTCAAAGCTTCCCACTCGCACAGAAAATTGGGCTCCGGGACGGAGCCTAAGCCCGGATCCTCATACGGGCAACAGCGCTTTGACACCTAACGCTGATTGGTGAAAAACGAGTGATGGTGGTAAATTTTACCCCCACAACCGGCTTTTCACCAATCAGAGCTCTGTGTCGAAGCGCTGTTGCCCGTATGAGGATCCGGGCTTATAAAATAATTTTTCAGCTTGTGGACTGAAGTTGGCTACTGGCAGTCCAGGTGTATATAGTCAAAGGTGCTAACTTGCCAAGACAGTGCCGTGTCTTCAGATTCTAGTCTAGTATTTTCTGGTCTAGTACTTTTCCGAGATTCCGTTTTCCGAAATCCGACTGTCATGGGACAACACTCTAATAGCGTTTTCGGCCCGACCGGGTTTGCACCAACCTGGGTTGGATTAATGGCGTTTTGCGCTCTCCTATTGGTAGAGTGTGTGATATCAACCAATAGGAAAGATTAATCCAACCCAGGTTGGTGCAAACCCGATCGGGCCGAAAACGCTATAAGAGAGATCTCACAAAATTTTTCAATTTTAATAATTTATTCTATCATCCGCTCATATATACGCGATGGAAAGGTGCCCGTTCCCCATGAGGCGTACTTTTCGAGTTGCGTAGGTTACGAAAACCAATTGTAAATTCGTTTAGCATTTCTTTAAAGTTTACAACAGAAATTCTAATCAGCAATTGGTTGCATTAGTTCCGCATTTCTCTAATCTTCCGCGAAATACGCCAAATGCGAATGCCGGCTTTCAGAATGACGTATTCTAGTAAATAAAAAATGACGTATTCTGGTAAATTACTAGAATACGCAGGTTACGCTTACGCAGGTTACGCCGCATGTGACAGCACCCTTAGAAATCATGTATTGTGATATACGAGCTGTACAATGGCTGGCTGGCCGGCTGGCTGGCTCGTTGGCTCGCTGGGTCGCTCGCTCGCTCGTATACATAAAGGCCCGTATTCAGAACGCGCTTTTATCGATAAAAGCGCATATTTATCTCTGAAATTCTATAATATACGTGACGTAAAGTATAGTATGTTAGCGCATTAACATCATTGTAAACACGTTCTGAATAAGGGCCATAGCGTTTTCGGCCCGATCGGGTTTATATCAACATGGGTTGGATTAATCTTTCCTATTGGTTGACGTTATCCGCTCTACTAATAGGAGAGCACAAAACGCCATTAATCCAACCTAGGTTGGTGCAAACCCGGCCGGGCCTAGAGTCCTAGATTTATCAGAGAGGCGCAGCCGACTTAAGTCAGTATGACAAAGGCGCTAAGGAGAGTACTAAACACGGCCGACATGCTATGAAACTGCCTTTAAACTATGTCAAACAAGATAAGACGTGTAGGGTAATGAGATTGAATGTATAGGATAAAATGAAATAGAAATATGTCACTAGTACTATAAATGGCTGCCAAGTCACGCAATTGGTCAGATTGCAATAGCGAATCAGAATGCATAACACCGGTTGCGCCTCTCTGATAAATATAGGACTCTAGCCGGGCCGAAAACGCTACTAGACTTATCAGAGAGGCGCTACCGGTGTTATGCATTCTGATTCGCTGTTGCAATCACGTTACTTGGCAGCCATTTCTAGTACTAGTGACATTTCTATTTCATTTTATCCTATACATTCAATCTCATATTATCCTACACGTTCTATCCTAAACAGAATAATAAAGGCCCGCTACCGATTGGACGTGTTATTACATCAATTTTGGAAAATGTGACCGGTTTCAACGCGCAATTGATTTTACACTTTTAAGGGCGCAGCACACACTCTTGCACAACGCATAATGCATAGTGCATAAAGGAATCAACCAATCAAAATTCTTCTTTTCCATGGAATGGGAGGAAAGGAAAGATTCTGATTAGTTGATTCGCTTATGCACTATGCATTATGCGTTATGCAAGAGTGTGTGCTGCGGCCTTTAGACTTTCGTATTCTGCATGTTTTTTGTTACTCATCACGTAAGCGGCGTTTTCGACTCTGTGTTAAGGGCTGCCGCAGACAAAATTTCTGTAACAGTAACCTTAAGACGCGAACTTAAGCCAATGAACCAATCAGGATACTGCTTTAGATCTACGTACTCTAACGGAAATAGAAATAGCAGTAAACTTATCCATAAGGCGAGTTTCAACCGGTTGAAATTCGCCTTATTGCGAGGTTATGGATAAGTTTACTGTTATTTCCATTTTCGATAGATTACGTAATCTAAAGCAGTATCCTGATTGGTTAATCGGCTTAAATTTACACCTTACGCGTACAGTTACGGAATTTTGTGTGCGGCAGCCATCGACATCTAGAATGGACAGCTGATGGCAATGGTGGGGGTAGAAAGACGATTAGAGTGAGAGGCAGGAATAATAAGATCGTTCTTTCTCTGTTTACTGA